CCCCCATATAAATTTTGAATTTTTGATCTAAAAACAAAATGATTGCAAGTTGAAAAGATTTATTGTGTGATTTATTTATTTATTACAAGGAGACAAAATTACATACACCGTTTTAGGCTTCTTAGCAGCTGGTGGTGTGCGCAGTCTGCATAACCGAGTAATTTGAGGTTATACTTAGACTAGTGTCATATTCTACACATCTAAAGTGGAACCATCACAGAGATCGCATAAAATCATGTTGTCGTATTCTTCTGGCAGTTTACATTCACATAACATATTATAAAAACAATCGCTTGCAAATTTTATCAATACCAGTGTTAACAATAGCCGCCACAGTAATCACTTGCTAACAATAAACTATAGGATTAGTAAAAAATCCATGGAATGTGTTGGGAAGCGTATTGACTATATTGTCCGTTGAATCGTCAACTTTCTGTGTCAGTGATGTAATCTTGATTCTTCATTTCCGCAAAGAAAATTGCATTGTATATGTGGTGTGGTTTATTCAAATCATTTCATGATACTTTGATTTTATTAGTGCATGCCTTAAACATTTGAGAATGTAACTCTGCAAAACTAAAAGCTTTCTTGGCTTTTTTGAAACGTATATTATTGGATTATTGCCTATTGGCAAGTTCTACCCTTCGCTTCTGAGATTTACAAACTATATTGAAATAATGCAAGTAAAAAATAGTGACAAACCATACATTTTCCGATAACGACAAAACGTGGATGCAAAACAATACCAATAATTACAATAACCACCACGGTGATTACTTTTCAACAATGAGTTTAAGGATTAACACTGAAAATGCAAAATATGCACGGTGTGCTGTGAAGCGTCATAAGTCCTATTGAGTATTCATTTACTGTAACTGTGTAAAGCCCTTTCGATACATGTAATTGTAAATTTGTATTCTTACATGCAGGGCTTGAAATAACGTTCCCAAAGTTCCCGATCATGGTGATCGGCAGTAGCGACTTTCCCTGCTTTTTTCAGGTTGGAAACCGAAACCCTGCTTTTCCGCCGATCATAAGCAATTCCTTGCCGATCATTGATCGGTGATCGGTTGTTATTTCAAGCTCTGTCTTAGCAATTTTGAATTGATACTGATTTCAAATGATTAAAGCCATGTAATAATTATCCCATGCAACTGTTAGGAAGGGCGAAATTTTGAACGGAGGACGAAAATCCTAAAGAAAAGGTGAAGTTTCTAAAGGGGGGCGAATTTCCTAAAGGGGGGCGAAATTCCTAGGATTTTCGCCCCCCTGGGGGGGCGATATTCCTAGGAATTTCGCCCCCCGGGGGGCGAAAATGTAGGGGGGGCAAAAATCCTGGGACACCGGTACACATATGAAAATGCTCATGAGTATACTGGATTTTGGTACACATATGAACATGCAGGGTGCTACCTAAGTAGCAATGTTTTCACACCACATTTAGAGGGTATTATCTATGTGATAATGTGGTCCTGTTTCAATGCTGACTGGTGGGTTGTAACAATCTTATACCACCACAGATTGCCAAAATCTACAGAGCTTGGTATGCTTGAACGTTTGTTTGACCATCCCTAATGTAGCTAAAAATTTTCAGATTCAGAGCAAAAGGTTTCAAATACCCTCTTTCCTGAGCACGAACTCGTCACAGAACCTGAAGAAATGAATAAAGATGTTGATAATGGTGGTGATCAAGAAAGTGTAAGAAAGTATGAGGAGTATCTCAAGGATCACAGAAATGATGGCACAAGTTCAGACAATGACTGGAACTCATTAGAAGCAGAAAGCAAAAAGATTAACGATGTCGTGGAGGACAAAACTTATTGGGAATTCAAGAAAAGAATTTCATTCGAGCCAGAACAGGTTTATGGAACAGAGTCACAAGCTTTACTGACAATAGAAATTTGGGCATGAAGTTTGCAGTATACCACCGATCTAGAAAAAGAATTTTCTTCTTGGCAACAAAATCCAAAAATAAAAATTTCATGTGTACAACCATCAATTTCCACACATGACAATTTCATTTAAAAAATATTGTTAATACATTTGGAATTTTTAATTAACAAGCAAATTGTATGGCATTTCAATATATAAAATGACAAAAATTTCCAGATTGGATAGTGCTGAAAATTTCAAGCCCTGGAAAATATAAATTCATTCACAGTTTCACACTTGAACCAACTTCTTTTCACACTTGAACCAACTTCTTTCCGCTTTCAGGTTTTACGCTATCAACGACATGGAAACCCACTCTGGGTATCAAAGTTGAATATACCTAATAAAAGTGATATACCTATATGTCCTTGTGGGGCAGAAAGGACTTTTGAATTCCAGGTATTCAATTAAATAAAATATAGAGCAAGGGGCATCACTATGAATCTCTTCGGTCTTTTGTGCCTCCCTCTACAGTCCAGGCTGCCCAGGCATTTCTCATGAGAACAACCTAAACCACGCCAGTATAATTTTGTTTATCAAGAAATGGGCTACGAAAAATAATAATACCAAGGCAACAAATTTCCTAGTTCTGCATGTTATCAGCATTCAAACCAAGCTTTGTTATTTCAGTACCTAAAACATGTCACTACCTGATAGGAACCACCTTATATGTTGTGGGAATGAATAGCAATTCACAATAGCAAAAACCGAAGAAAAAACAGTGTGGAGGAGAAACTACTAGAAAGCCCAATTTTTATCGGTTCAACATTGTAATATTCTCTTCTTTTCTACCTAGATTTTGCCCCAGTTATTGAATCACATGAAAGTCGACTCACTACAAGCCAGCATTGATTGGGGAACTCTTACAGTTTATACTTGTTCTCAAGACTGTAACAAACCAGATACTGTTTACTACTATGAAGAATTTGTTTGGAAACAAGATTTTTCTAATACTGGACTACCTGCCAATATCTTATCTAATTAGCTAAACAGCAAAAATAGATTAAAGTATACTTAAAGTACAGTGGATAATCTCTAACATTTAATACAAGTTTGCCATTAAAACTTTTGTGGACAGAAGCACTTGAGGGTTCTATGCCAATTTGATGCGTAATATTGGCCAAAATGGAGAAATCGCTAAGGTGTTAGCCCTTATTTTATTCTTATTTTGGCTGCCTTTTCGAAGAGCTTAAAGACAGCCAAAACATGACGAATGATTAGCCTTTACTTTGTGCCCATTCTGATTGTGAAGTCAATGCAGTGCACAGTGAAACCTATGTGTAGGGATGGAAACACAATTGTTAACTCAAACGAAGTTGTATTCGGTTATTTGTCTTATTTACATTTATACAAACCACATCAATGATATCGCCAGCTCCAAGTTCTTTAGAAGATGGAATGACAGACTTGTGTAACAGTCCATCATGGCCTACCCCAATGTCAACAAAAGCCCCGAATGTAGTAACATTCGTCACACGCCCAGTAAGATGTGTATTAACACTAAGGTCATTGATCGACATTATTCCTTCACGAAATAAGGGCTTGGAGAAATCTAAAAAATATCAAGAAAAACATAACGTTTTTATCAGTTGAAAACAGAGACAGAGTCAAACTATTCTTACATCAAAACAATCATTTTCAACTGATAAAAACATGTTTTAAAAAAATTGAAAAATACGTCGAAAACTAAAGGGGGACCATAGACCCTGTTGTACCCCCCCCCTGTTGTACACCCCCAGTTTTTAATTTTTTCAATTTAAAATGGAAAATGGTTTTTGACCATTTCCCAAATGTTTGGAGCAATTTCAGCATTTTTGAAAAATATTAAACCCAAGAAGTAAATTTGTTCACCTGCTCTAATATCATATCCAATAGTCTGAGATAAGCCATGGATGATAAAACGCAAAGTCTCTGGATTACATTCCAGCATTGTACACACAGTTGAAAAACCTAAAATAAAAACACTTGCGTAAGTTTGTGATTTTGCCATTATATTATATAACTAACTTTAACTGTACTTTACTTTACTTTACTTTACTTTAATTAACAAGAAAATTCACTGTACTGTGGGCAACGCGATGACGACAGCCAAAACAAACTTCTTCAAATAAATTATTGCGAGGAAGAGTTGTTGTGTATTATCCACTTGCATGTATATATGAATTGAGTTCAGTTTGAAGAAATTAAAACAAAGGCTTTATGGTTAAAAACGCTTCTGCTGAGCAAATTTGTAGTTTCACTTGTCGCGTCTTGACATGTTTGCGTTGTACACGAGACGTGAAAATATCTGGTTTGCCGTTGTAAAAAGCACTAACACAACGTCTCTAACTCCCGTGAGGCTTTTGATTATTCATTTCTTTTGTAAAAGATCAGGAATATCATTGTGTGAATAGCCGTCGTCGTCGCGTTGCCGTCCTGTTTGCTTAAGGTCCCTACCATAGCAGTCACGCATACGTGATAAAAAGCATATCAACTTTATAAATAAAATATAAGATTCGGCCATCTCAAATAATGGTAATGTTGGGATAGTAGCGTTACAGACTGCAGAGGAGAGTGGGCAGTAAAACTCCCTCATGCACCACCCCATGGGAAACCTGCTTCCCTCCTTGCAGATGAGGCTAGATCCACCCCTAATCTATGGTAATCATGAACTCCCTAAACCACATGATTCAACCTACAGTGTAAGTACCTTTGTTAGAAATAAAATTATCCATTTTTTCTTTAATTCGAGCTTGACCGACGTCCGTCAAGCTTGCTTTAATGAGGCTGACAAGTCTAAAAATGGCATGGAGAACAGCGAGATTTTCAAAACAATGAAAAGACAATGGAACATTCTGATGACTGGATCATGACTGGATGGCATTGCACGAGTACAGTGGGGTTTTCAAAACAGTGAAAAGACAATGGAGCATTCCAGCTGGACTGGTCTGGCTCATACGAGCAGCTCCTAAAAGATCGAAACTCCACTCACTCTGTAGCAGTTGCATAGGACTCAGGATGAATAGAAGTTGAATCCAGTTTATTAAAAAGTATCAGTATTGGTGTATGTTTTCTCTTCTTACTGGTCGATGGTC